GAGATCTTTTCTAAGAAATTTGGATTTAAATGACTTAGACTAAAGTCCAACAATTTCTAGCATGGACAGAACAACATATATTTCCATTTTTCCATCTACCACTGTGTGTGCCCCCCACAATTTCATTGTTTTATTGCCCTTATTGATAACAATGCATGTGCTCATGTCTTCTAGATTATTATGAACATCAGGAGAATACAGAATGTAAATTAAAAAAAGCAGTTTAAACACCATGAAGAACCCCACAGGTTCTCTGTTGTAAAGTCCATGTGTCTGATGTCTCAGGAATGGGATCTAACTTTTTTGGACGTGTGCTCTGTGTGAAAAAAATCTAACCAAGAAAATTCTATGTAGTGTCTTTAAAATGAAAAGAACTTCAGTATCAGAATCCGCTTATTTTGTTTCTTTTTTAGACTCTGGGAAGCAATATTCTTATTGACAGTAATTCAGTAAGAGACAGGCATTCATAAAACACTACTGAAAATGAATGAATACCTGGGAAATGACAGTCTTAGGCATTAATTTTGCTTGTCTACAGCCAAAAGAAGACCCGAAGGCAAAGATAAAATCTAAGGGGATTATATATGTTCATATTTTATTTTAAAGTCTAAAAATTTTGGTATGGCATATGTATATCCTTGCATGTGTATTTTCCCATGGGTGTACATCCAGAAGGAGACCACAGGTTGACTTCAGGTGTCTTCTTCCATCACTTTCTAACTTGTGTTTTCAATCATTGTCTCTCAGGGAACCTCTCCATTTGACTATACTGGCTGGACAGTTAGCCTCTAAGATTCACTTGTCTCTGCTCCTCAGTGTTGAAGTTATGGACACATACCACTGCATCCCACTTTTATGTGGGTACTAGAGATTAAAGTTTATGGCCTCAGGCTTACACGGGATCACTTTGCCCATGGAGTCACCTCTCCAGCCCTAAATATATTTTTCGTATGAGGAATGTCAGCAATTCACCTTGGATGTTGAGGGATCAAAGGACTCCATCATAGCAAGGTTGGCCCTACAATGGTTTTATAGGACACAATCATAGTGACTGGATCTCAAATCTAGTGATATATTGGGGGAAACAGCCCCCAGTTCTATGGAATCAGAATATCTTTAAAAAATGAATGGCCACTTAAAGCCATAATAGATTTCCTAGATGATTCTAAAACCACCTGTCTATCCTTGGCCACAGAGGTAAGGTGTGTGTGGGACCCAGAGAAGTAGCTCTGGGTTTCTCAAACTTCAGTGTGCGTGTGAACAGTCGGAGACTTCATTAAGAGCAAGATTTCGTTCAACTGGCCCTGCGTGGGATTTGAGACTTTGCCCTTATTATAAATTCCCAGGTGAGATCTCTGCTGTTTCTGAGTATCAAGGACCTTGGTCTCATCGAGAAAGACTGAAATCTCCCTCAACAAATAGTTGGTGGATTTCAATGATGAATAACCTGGGGACTTAATTACATCAGAAGGAAACATCACAAAGCACCTCATTTTAATCCTTTTTAACAAGAGCTGGACTAAAGGTCATGAATTCCTGGTGCCAAACGACACAGGAGGTGGCAGAATTGAAGGAAACATTCCAGAATTCAGTGATGTCTGTTTCTAATACAAAAGAGCACCCAAGGACAACCACAATTCAGCAAACTCTTTTCTCCCTTTCTTTTCCTTTTGTGTCAGTATCCCCATGAAATGGAAAAAAATCCATGTAATGACTTACATATGGATTCATATATATATATAAAATTTGACACACATATACGTATATAGTGATATGACAGTGCTACTACCACACTGACTGACAGAACAGTAAAAACTGTATGCTTCTCAAGACAGATTATCTGCAGCTCATTTTTGTGCTACCTTATGAAGGCCTGACAATGCATACTTTTTGAAACAGGATGAACAGTATCCCTTAGAATGAATTTCATGGCATTACCGAGTACCCCACTGGTACAGTAAGAGGCTGAGTCATTTCCTTCACCCTGCGTGATATGCTACAATTGAAACTAGGATACCATATGCTAAGTCTAAAATGCTCAGTAGGTCCAGTAGCTTTTGGCGATTCTGCCAGTTTTTATGTAGTACCTAGGCTGCAAAAAGGCATGAGAAAAAATTGTAACTACAGTCTGCATTGGGTGTTTCTGAATAGAGGGGAGATTTCATCAGACAATCATTAACTCTCCTGGACAAAACAGATAGATGTCTGACATGCTCTCTAACAACCTTCAAGATCCTCTTTGTTGTTTTCTTGAAATTTTCCAGCCTGTATCTGTCTCACTCATAGCGTTACTGTGTGCGTGGCTTCTAATAGAGCCCATAATGAGAATATTTATTTCCTCATCTTTCACCATCAAGACTGTCAAGAATGTCAGAACAGCTCAAGGAGTAGATTTCAGAGATGCTGACTGCTGCCAATGGAGACAGACACATTTCAGAAGTCTATGGCAATTTTTAATAACATTCTCTGTAGGAAGAGGGAAGGAGTTAGGCACCTCATCATCAGGCAACACAGCCTCCTTGCTTCATCATACTGTTTCTTTTTCTTTGTGCTATAATTACACTAGAGAAGAGAGATAGTTTGAAAATATACCTCTAAGGCAAATCGTTGGGGTCAATGTCATGTTACAGAAGCTTCATACTGTGAAGATGCCCACAGCAAACCTCCCATCTTTATTTTAATCAGTATTGGTATTTGGAATTCTAATCTGAACAAATTTCCCCCACATCAAAACACATCTCTATGGTTAACTGATTTTCTTTATGAAGGAAATACCTTCAACATTGCAAACACAATAAAGACATGCATTAGCATTTACTGAGTTGTAATTATGGAATAATGTGACTAAAAGGGACCTGAGAGACTAGTTGTAAATTCTTCCCTTATAAGACAGGAAGAGTGTGGCCTAGAAATACCAAACCATTTGCACAATTTAAAATAATGATTTTATTCAGAAAGAGGAGGATATATCTGTGTGTTTAGTGCTTCTGCTATTCATTTGTATGGAAATGAATTACTAAGAAATAAACTCCTATCTGAAAGCACACACCCCAGAAATCCTAACAATTCCACCTCTCAGGCAGACTTCATTGGTTGCTTTCCTTCCCTACTAGTTCATAAACAGGGTGTCTGTGCTTGGACTGCAAGCTTTCAGAAGCCTTCCTTTTAATTTTTTCTTTTCCTGCTGAAAATGTTAAGTGTGACATTAGATTAGAAAGGAAGTTGCAGAGCTAAGGACAAAGCTCAGCTGATAAACTGCTCATCTAACAAGCTCAAGAAGCTGAGTGTGAGCTCCAAAACCCAAGTGAAAACTCTTTGATGCTGTGTACCATCATCTCATTGCTGCAGAGGCAAAGACAGGTGGACGTCTGTGGCTCATTGGCCAGTTAGCCCAGTCTGCTTGAAAATCTCCAGATCCTAGAGAAACTTTATCTAAAAACAAAATAAAACAGAACAATCCAACACACTAAGGTGGAAAGCTCTTGAGGAATGCCATCTAAGGTTGACCTATGGCCTTAAATACACACACACACACACACACACACACACCTATTACATACATATAAATGAATATACAACACAAAACAACAGTCATTTCAAACAGCAAGTTCAAAAGTTGGCTCTTTCAATCATGAATTCCAAACAGAAAATTTATGTGATGAGATTGTGATAGTAGACACCAAACTAAATCAGATCTCCTTACTAAGAACAGAGATTATTAACCTTTGGGAAAATGATGACTTTAGTTGTACATGTATGAGTGTTTTGCCTATGTGTATGTATGTATGTGCACCTCACAAATGCCTGAGGGTTTAGATGATCTAAAACTGGAGTTGCAGAGGACTATAGGCCACGATGTAGATTCCAGGAATTGAACATGTGTTCTCCATAAAAGAATCTTAATTGCTTAGCCAATTCTTCAACCCCTGAATTTTTCAAGTTTGCCACTGAAAACTTTTGTTAAAGGGTTGGATAGAAAGCTCAGCTGTTTATAACACTGATTGCTCTCATGGGGTACCTAGGTTTGATTCCCACCAACCATAAAACAGCTCAAAACAATTTATAACTCCAGTTATTAGGACCTGATGCCCTCTTTTGATCTCAGGCACTGGGTACATTCATGGTATGCATACCTATGTTGAAGCAAAATAATCACACATGCAAAATTAACACAGAAATTCCTTTGTGAAATTCTAATATGTATCAGGAATTAACCCTGAATGTGCAGTAACTATTGCTTGGTATTTTTCAGTATTCCCTTTTAGGAACACAACTATGGTATTTCTCAAGGCATGAGGTAAGTGCTTAAAACACTTGACTTTTCAGTGTCTTTTGACCACTGGTGTGACTAAACAAAATAGTATATGAACTGTTTCCCCTTAGTTCTATTAGCTGTTACAGCAAATTATTAAACCTGGGTTAGGAGCAGCTAGTCTGAAGCACTGGAGATGAGGATCTTAGATGCTCCTAGACCTGTAGGGTCTGATGCTAACTCTAGGCAGAGGCATCAGGATGGAATTGAATCAATGTATGTATAGCCAACTGGTGTCTAGAGTGTTGGAGAAGTGGTTGTTGGTATAGAAAATCAAAACAAACATATTCTGTATCAGAATCATAATGGAGAAAGTTTATAGATTCCTTCCCAGACCCAGAATGGGATAAAATAACTAAGCACAATCATTTTCTTTTAACACTGTAGATATGTAACAGATACTGATAGTTTAGTTACACTGTCTGACCAAGCCAAAGGGTTCTGACTTTGAACAACTTGGATATCTTTTACTTTGTGCCAGGCACACTGTGGGATGGGACATTTGTACAATCTACTATTTTCCTATACTAATTATGGGAGGCATTCACAACATCCCTTACTGTACATAGAAGGACTATGAGAATCTCTATAAATGACACTGTTCCTCAGCTGGTGTCAAGAGAGAAAACATTCTGCAAGAAAAATAGCAGCCAGTGAAGTGTGCATACATGGACATATTTATAGGTACCTCCAGAATGGGGTGGTGGGCCGCACAGAAGTACCATTCCCTGGCCTCGACGAACTGACACTGTGCTTCTTGTTCTTGTCTTAAAGTTTTCAAGATCTGTTGGGAGAAATGAAGGAAAACACATTTAACTTTACAGCCCTAAAATACCAAGGGAGACTATTGCTATTTCCAATAAGATAGTTATGCTGAAAAATATCCTAGATTGCATCTATACAAGGGAAATTCTGCTTAGCTGATTCTGACAAACTTTTAGTAATATTGTTCCTTACTCCTGGATTCCATTGGTAGATTGTCCAATAAAATGGCATTGCCCATGTGTGTCTATTTAGACTCAGAATACTAAAATTAAATGTGTAATATTTAGTTGGTAACACTAGTTAATTCTTGAGTATTCAATAACTACATATTACAAAACACACATAAGGAACATTTCTATCATTCTAGAAAATTCTACTAGACATTAGCAACTTAGGTGAAGAACCTGAAGTTGTATGACCTCCTGTAGGTAAGCATCATTGTTACGATACAAATTCTTATTTCTGACACAATACTCATGTCATAAACCTATTTTATGCAATTATAACTCTTTCTATATGTTTATATATGTTGATATATACATATCATATATACATATACATATGCAGATTTCTTACCCCCTCAGTCTGATTTCTAGAGATATAGTACCCAGATACAGTGCAAAATGGTCCTGAACTCACAATCTCAAACACACTATTCTTCAGCAACATACTTTTAGGTGTTGGCATTACCAAATTTATTCTGTTGTTACACATTATACGTATATGTGTATGTGCATATGAAAGTATGGTATAAACAGACATATTTACAAACAGATTATTTTGAATTTATACCTATTTTTAAATATAGATAAGGAACTGATTATCATTCTTTCAGGGAGAAAGTTCTATTTCTACAAGTAGGAGAGAGAAGACATTTATAGATTACAACTAGAAAAAACAAATAACTAGTTGCAAGCAAATAGTGGGTGATATAAAATACATATAGTAAACTGGTAGACATTATTCAACAGAGTATTTTAACCTCCTACCTACCCAGTATAGTTCTGACTAATAATTAGTATAGAAAGATTAATTTCTTCATTTTTCCCTCCTGTCTGAATCATTTGATCTAAAACCTCATTTTTTTTCTGTCTAAAGTATGTCACATAGTGTCCAACCCACTGGTTTGAAATAACATTGACTTCTTCCTTGGCCATTTTAATGGCTGCTTTTGCAATGATAAGACTATGTTGTGAAAGAGGAACCACAATCACATAATAATTATATAAGTTCAGCATCATTACTATCTATACTTACTGTGATATTTGTGAGTGACAGGGTCACATGAGCCTGGACAATCATTTCACAATTACAAATTGACATGTTTCAGACACAGTTTATTTTTAGGGGAAGTTTAGGAAAAATAAAATGTATGTACAATAGAATACCCCAACTATCATCATAGAGCCTTTATCCAGTAACTAATGGAACTAGATGAAGAAATCCACATCCAATCACCAGGCCAAACTCCAGGAATCCAATTGAAGAGAGGGAGAAGGGAATACATGAGCAAGGGAGTTCAAGATCATGATGAAGAAAACAGCTGAACAAACCCCGTGGAAACTCATAAACTCTAGACCCACAGCTGTGGAGCCTCCATGCGACCAAATTAGACTGTGTGGGAGACAGTAGTGAAGATTGGACTATCTGAGAGGCCCCTGGCAGTAGGACCAGGATCTTTCCCTGTGCATGAGTTATCTTGTTGAATCTCATTCCCTATGAGGGGATGCCATTATCAGCATTAACAAAGTGGGAAGGGGCTTGGTCTTGTTCTAACTTAATGTGCCAGACTTTGTTGACTCCCCATAGGAGCCCTTACTTGTTGGGGGGAGTGTATGGGGTGGTGGGCTGGGGGCAAGACAAGGGGGAGCAGGAGGAAAAGTGGGGGGAGAACTTTGGTTGGAATATAAAATGAAATTAAATAAAAACCTAAATTTTAAAAAGACAAAAAAAAGTACACACAATCATGCCTTCACAACGCTTTTTCTAGAACTGGGAAAAGCTTAAGCCTACATGGACTTTTTAAAATTATTACTATTTTCAGACAATTTCCACTTGGTACTACCAGGATGCAAATACTAGGAGAATGGTGTTTCTGACCTATACAGACTGAAAAGCTCTGTCAATTGCTTCACTGCAGACTTAATCATATCAATCCAAAGAATATCAAAGACGAAAGGGAAACATACACCATGGACACAGAACCAAACAATGCTAGAATCCAAATCCCATTTATGGTGTAATGTACTTCTTTTTATCCAAAGGTGTCTTAGTTACTTTTCTATTGATGTGATAAGTCACAATGACCAATATATTTATAAAAGTTAAATTTGGGGCTCATAGTTCCACAGGGTTAGAGTCTATGACCTCTGTGGTGGGGAGCTTGGCGTCAGGTAGCCAGGCATAGCACTTCAGCAGCAACTGGGAGTCTTTATCTTGATCCACAAGCAGGAGGAAGGGAGGGGGAAATTTAAAATAGCCTGTTGTTTTTACTATTATTCATTAAATTTATTCATTTATCTAACATTCTAACCACTTTTTCCCTTCCTTCCTCTCCTTCTATCCACCTCCCATCCATTCCTCTTCTGTTTCTATAGAAAGGGACAGGCCTCCCATGGGTGTCAACAGAGCATGGCATATGAAGTTGAGGTAGGACTAACCTCCTCCCCTAGATTTAAGGCTAGGTAAAGCAACCCAATATTAGGAATAGGTTCATGGAAGTCAGTCAATGTGTTAGGGACAGTCCCTGCTTCCACCACTAAGATTCCCTCAAGTAACTCAGGCTACACTACTCATACATAGAGGGCCTACTTCAGTCCGATGAAGGCTTCCTAGCTGTCAGTTCAGCGTCTGTGAGCTCCTATGTGTCTAGGTTAGTTGTTTCTGTGGGTTCCCTTATGAAGACCTCAACCCTGCCCATCCCCATCAACTTTCCTCCCTCTCCTTAACAGGTTCCTAAATTCAGCCCAATGCTTGACTGGGTATCTGAATTTGTTTCCATCATTCACTAGATGAATGATCTTTGATGAAAATTGGATTAGTTACCAACTTGATTTCAGCAGATGACCAGTTCAGGCTACCTATGTACTATTGCCAGAAATCGTAGCTGGGATCATTCTTGCAGATTTGTGGGAGTTTCCCTTGCACCAGGTTTTTATCTGACCCCAAAATGCCTCCCATCCACCATCAAGAAGCCTGGAGATATGGTTCAACTGTTAAAGGCTTGGCTCACAACCCAAAACAGACTGTGTGTTTTGAAACCTCAAAGCCCCAGTGCACACCTTCTCCAACAATACTACACATACTAATCTATCCCAAACAGTTACACTAACTGTGGACCAAGCATTCAAGTATATACTCCTATGGGGGCCATTTTCATTCAAACCACTACAAATAGGTTCTGTATTATGAGGGGCATGCTATTTTTTTAAGGAAATGGTCTGAAAAGGAGATAAAGTAGAGAATTTTTAAAACTTTGTTATAAAACTGGCATTTTAAATCATTATCCTTATAAGAGATACAGAATCCCAATAAATGATCTGTTTAGTTTCGTTCTTAGCATATGCCATCTGCATTTTTATACATATCCCATCCATCTTTCAGAGTGGCATAATAAAATTAAGAATTGATTGATAATAGATACTCAATTCATTTATAACTAAGCAACCATTGTTTCTGATATAAGACACTGTGTGGAGAAATGGGAAAAGGAACTGGAAAGATCACTCAGTGGTTAATAGAATTTGGCTGGTCTTTGAAGGAACCGGGTTCTGTTCCTAGTACCCACGGGCTGGTCACAACAGCTTGAAGCTCCAGTTCCAACAGATCTAATGCCCTTTCTTGTATCCATACTCATGGCACACATGGTGTACATACATGCAAGTATAACACTCATACACATAAAAAGAAAAGTAAATAAGATACATTTTTTTAAAAAGGCAAAGAGTTAAAAGAAACACATACAATGTTCAAGTGTACTACTTGAGCTTAAAAATACACAACTCAGATTTCTCCTGTTTTATTTTGTAAATGCTATCCAGTTTTACAATATTTGAATGCTCAGAGTATCGTATAAGCATATGATATTTGAGGAAATGTTTGGAAATATTTGTTTGTAGTTGATTAGAAAGTATTCCAGGTGGCATAATTTCCTGACTTTTAATGGAAATGTTGTATTTGGACAGACCTGGATTTGGGAATCATTTCTGCCTCTTATTAGTTGTGCTGACCTTGGACACATCTTAATTTTATGACATGTAAGTTGAGAATTATATGTGATTTGTTTTAAATTAAGAATCATGGCAAAAGTTAAGTGAAATAGCTAAACACAAATCTTTTTTTGTAATAAGGTTGGTCTTCAGTATTTCCTGCTGTCCACTAAGGAATGTTGTCATCCCATGGAAAATCGTTCCCTAAGCATCTCATCTAAAAAAAGTATCCAAGTTGCAATAAACACTAGAGTGAGTTGTGGATGTCAAGAAAAATAAATGATGCATATGTCTGTATATAAGAGAACATGAAAGATCTTGAACTGATATTTCAAATATCATAACCTACCCACAGTCTAATCACTAGCTAGTACCATTGTAATTTTCTATGTCAAAAAGCTGTGTATGTGAATTATGCTAACCCTTTATGCTTGTACACTCATGTCCAAGCTTTTTACTGACAATAATTATAACTCATATAATAAAATATGAATTATATATTATAAATATAAAACGTACAACTTTTTTACTAAATGTATTTTTACATATTTTAGCACCAAAACAAAAAATTGACAGAGTTAGAGTCAAGCTCCTCAAATTTCATTTCAAATGGTTGTTCTGAATGTATAGATATTCACTGAGATGTGTAGATTTTGGGTGTGGCTAATTTCAGTGTGTGTGTGTGTGTGTGTGTGTGTGTGTGTGTGTGTGTGTGTGTGTGTGTTGCAAGGTTTTAATAGTAAAGTTTATAAATAGCACTTAAACCAGTTACTTGACAAAGATAGTCTGTGATAATGAATTTCCTGTCAAT